GTAACATTACACAAGATTATGAAAGGACTGACAATGCAGAATATTGAAAAGGTTAAAACAAGACCACACAGTAGAAGTACAATGTTCTACTCTTTTCATTGTGTATTTAAAGCTGTTTTCTTCTCCACAGCAATGCCCTTCATCATTTCCATGTTGCTGGCCAGTCTGAACAGCTGCTGTAACCCCTGGATCTACATGTTTTTTGCTGGGCATCTTTTCCATGACCTGAAGCAGAACCTGCTGTGCTGTTCCACTCTCTATCTGAAGTCCTCTCAGTGCCGCTGTGATCCGGAGCAAGATTCCCGTAAGAGCAACTCCTCCACCTACGTCATCAAAAGTACCAGCAGCCAGCGAAGCATCACCCAGACCTCTGTCACATAAACCAGACATACCTCAAAACCAGGTTTTTCACATTTTTGAAAGCCAGATGAAGGACAGGAAAGCTCAATTATAAACCCACACAATACTGCAAATGTCACAATCAGTTTGCTTCAGCTGTGTTTTGGTTTGGGAATTATTCAGAATGTCATTTTAATTACTCCACTTCGTTTTCTTTATCTCTGAGGACTTTGAGCAGCAGTAATCTATTCCTTACCTTTTTCTAGACATTACATAATGAACGTCATTCGATTCCAGACCATGTTTATGAATCTATTTACATTTAGTCACACGTGATTTGAATTGCTATCTGATTGTGCATGCGCATTCGCTTTGGTCACATAAACGTGTCTTGGTGCTGCATGGGCACCAAAATTGGCTGCACTTGATGTGGTTCATAAAAACAGGATGTGGCTGAATTATCTTTGACAATTGTGGTACAAAAGATAACCGTAATGTGCCACATTCTGTTTGGGGCTCACAAAACCGCCATGACACAGATGTGTTTAGTAGGAGCAAAGTTTGCAATCATGGCCTCAACAACCAGATGGATTTACTCTTGGCCGAGTCTCAAACCAACAGATCGGATTTCTGTCATGCTTAAATGTCTTAAGAGTGTCCAAGTGTAAATAGCCCCGATATGATATAAACATGCAAAACCCACTAAACCGTAAAGGGATAGTTCATCCAAAAATTCAAATTCATCATTTACTCATCCTGATGTCTCCCCTTTATGAAAAAAGCAGTGAAAAGTAATATAATTTTCAGTACTTATTGTAAAAAAAAAAATCAAGTTTGACTTTGTATTGAAGACGACAGCAGGGTTATATCATTTTATGGGTTAAAGGGAAGCAGCTGTCACTCACTACACAGAGTTCACACATGGATTTAAGATGAGGAGGTTAACAACACACAGATGAAAACAAGATGTTGATGACACATGAAGTGTTTCTTCTGAAACCTGATGAGAAACATGGCCAGTTGCTTTTTGAATGAACTTGACTTGTCAAAAGAGAATACCTTTGTTTGTTTTAAGAACACGCACTTTTCATTTTTGGCACATACATGTTGTTGTTGTTGTTATCACTGTTCTTTATCATTTCACATGTAAACTTTACTGTCATGCCCAAAGGACCACATCTCTTTGCAAAATGTTTCTGCAATGCATCATGGTAATCAAATATGACAAACACCATTTGTTTTCAAAAAGTCAAGGACTGATTGTTTACTCCCTCACTTTTATGGATGTTTGTCTTGTAAGAGAGAGTGTTTGTAATCAATGAGGTTAAAGTGTTTATTCCAGTTACATCTTTTGCTTAAAGCAGCACTATGTAACTTTTTCTGTGTTCAAAATTGGCAAA